GTGTGGCTACATCAGCCACCCACAGAGGTTCTTTCAATTCTCTCCAGCCAGAGATTTTTGTAAAGTTAATTTTGGAGCTTCTAAAAGGAATGCACTAAGCACAAATCGGCATTAAGGATTAAAGCATGTGCAAACAGTATCATTCTCAAAACATTCGATAAGAACATAATAAAAAGGCACTTGTTATGCAGGTGAATATATATCTTCTGTCTAGGAATCCACATTCATACAGGAATCGTTTATAAAAGTATCTATCTTAAAACACTCAAGAAGTATATTTGATCTGTAGAGCTAATTGCATGATAGGATGACTTCATGAACTACGTTTTTTACAGTTGGCTTTTATATGGTATTTGCAGGAAACGGGTATATGGGAAGTTCCTTCCCGAAGGGAACACCCTTTGGTTTTTCGGATATACTTCCAGATGGCTGCATTCTGCATCCAGAATATGAACAAGCTAAGCAATATGGAAATGTCAAATCTGAAGACAGGTCAACCTACGGTCAGTCTGTAACACCTATACCAAACAGGCAGTTTATTCCAAAATCATTCCACCATCTGCCTGGCCTTGGCGAACAGTTTGCTCCAGGAACTCCCTTGTCAGGAAATGAATACTCTGTCTTTGATACAGCATCAAATGCTCAGAAAGCATTTGGGGCTTCAAACTCCAGCTGTGCTCTCTCTCTTCTGTCAGCTCAATCGCATAACTTATCAAGCCATTCAGCCGGAGTTCAAGTGCCTAACCCCCTGGTCAATCAAAGAGCCCATCACTGTTATGGTCAACTTAATGAAAAGACTTCGAGGGTAAACTCCATGGAAAATTGTGGACGAAACAGGTCCTACCCGTTTAGTAAGAAATCTATGGGAGCCAACCACATGGAATCAGTAAACATTTCTGATTCTAGTCATGCTGCTGACTTCCAACTTCACACAGACAGAGCTTATCATGTGTCAGATTGCTTGAGTGCCAAGTATTGTGTTTCTCCTGAACGCGGAACAACTTTTGATTTGCTGCAATTGTCATCACACCTTCAGAGAGTGGAGCATGAGAGGAACTTTCTCCAAGTAAAGCAGGAAAATGGAAAATTCTACTGTTTCCCGACAGGCATGCAAGCAACAATGTGATTATGTAAGTGTTTCCACTAATTAAAATCTCTGTCCTTGTTTCTTTTTTCACACCTTGTCAAGCATTCCCAGCTTGAAAAGGTCATCCGAAATCAAGCAGCAGCATAATAGAGATAAATGTTGTATACATTAGGGATGAAATAAGAACCATGAAATTGCTGGCTACATCTCCACGTTTATGTAACTTTATGCAGGATATTCGTGCGGATTCGATTAAAAACGGTGTTAACGAATGTGCAGGTTGCTGGAGGCAGTTTGGATCTTCAGCATCAGAATTCCAACATTTCCACAGAGGCTGGGAGAAACTTTAGATACCAGTGGTAGCAACACTCTATTCCGAAAGGAAAATATAGCTATCTAGTTTTGATGTGGTAAGCTGGATTTTTGTAAGTTGCTATAGATGCCTTTATGTTTGTTATCTGCAAACTTTTACGGTAATCCAGTGATTTAAGATATTATTACGCTATCTTTGGTTCAATGTACTGTGATTGTGTTCAAATTGCACCTCTTCTCTCTCTCTTTGGGCATATGGATAACTGTGGTTGATTTTGTGGAAGATATCATGCCTGATCATCGAGAAATTCTAAGCTGCAACCGGGATGTAATCCCACACTAATATCACTCTGATCACGTAACATATACTTAAAAAGTGCACTATCCGTCCAATAGAGATTGCCAACTGATGAATTAGTGACACGAGTGAATCTCGAGTTAATTAGCTACATTTATATATATATATATAAGGAATCAGTTGATGGCGAGGTCATGGCAATCCAGCTTTTCGGGGGTTGGGAAGACTAAGGGCTGATTTGGTATTGATGTGCTTTGAAAAAAAGCTGCTGTGAGAATAAGCGGCTGTGCTGTGAGAATAAGCGGCTGTGAAATAAATCAACAGAGTGTTTGGTAAACTTTTTTTGTAAAAGTGCTTTTGGAAAAAAAAAAAGTCTGATAGTGAGTATTTTCATTAAAGGAGCATTGTAACTCTGTGTGCTTTGAAAAAAAACCAGTTTTCCAAAGCTGCAAATAGCAGCTTCAGCTTTTTCCTTTGATTTCAGCTTATTCTCACAGCAGCTTCCAAAATAAGCCTTTTTTTTTCAGTTTACCAAACACCTAAAACCCTTACAGCTTTTTTTCATGGGTGTTTTTTTTTTTAAGCACCTCACTTCCAAACCACCCCTAACATAGTCATTTCAACTTCCTCTTGAGCACCATGATTCACGAGTATCAATAATCGAATCCATAATCAATCGTGTAAAAACCTGAAAGTTGCCCCAATTATTGAACCATCCTGTGATAGATAATTAATTGGCTTCTTTATCGTCGGTATCATTGTTTAATAGTTAATTATCATACAGTTGTGCTGCATCATGATGTCCACTTTAGTTTTATACATTATCCCAAAATCCTAGAATTTGTGAAAGGGGTGAATTATCCACACACCTTATTTTACTTCTCACACACCTTTTTAATTTTCGGCTGTCGGATCGGATGAATTGAATAAAATTAACGGACATAAATTATCAAGAGTATGTAAGAATTAAAATGAAATGTGTGGATATCACATCCTTTGTGAAATTGTGATCACAAAACTTTAAATCACTTCCAATTAAAGCAAAAAAAGTGGAGTGGCCAACGCTTTTATCCACCTTCCAAAGTTGAAACCCACCAACCATTAGTGCTCACTATTCACTAATCACTCCTTTTAATTAATTATATTTCTGCATTACTCTATGAGATTTGGAATGCAATCATTTGACACGCGACAATGATCTGCTTATTTTATGCAGCATAGAAATACTCGGATTCTCTCACAGTAAGACTCTCTATGAATTATTTGTCACCTCATAGTTTAACATCAATTCTAATACTAATATTATAAAATATTATGCAAAAAACATGAAGTAATTGAGAGACATGAAGAATGTCACTTTTTAAGAGAGTCTACTTAAAATTTCTCTTATGCAGGAATATATGTATGTGTATATATAATTTATACATACAACTCGGAGATAAAGTGTGAAGGGCTTTGTCTTTGCATTTGACATGATTAAATCAATAATGTTTAAATTAAGGAGGAAGATTAGTGTGCATGTGTGAAAAGTACTTAAAGCCAGTGTCGTGACTCATGTCAAGGTTGTAGCAATCATTTGACATCAGGAATGACGTCGTTCAAACTTTAAAGCCACTTCCACCTTGACGAACGCTTATTGATTAATCGAACCTGGAAATATGACATTGTTTCAAGTTCTGAGAGATGTTTCGAGGTCAAATTTCCAAACTCTCATTGATAAAAGTGATTTTGAAACCAAAACCTCTAGACTCCATGGACCACGTAAAAGAATCCCTGCTTGCTAACCAATCTGTAAATGGTGAGGCCTCTTTGCCAAACGATCAATTTTTTTTTTCACAAAAAAAAAGTGCTTGTACTCATTAGAAAGTGCTTTTAGCTCTCACAAAAGCACAATCAAATAGAAACTTATGGCTTATTTTGGAGTGCTTTTCAAATGACTGAAAGCGCTTTTAGAGAATATTTTTAAGATGATGCTAGAGAAACCAAATTTTTAGATCATATTTTGTAGATCACATGATGAGATGAGTAATGGTTGGACTCATTTTTAAATCATCAACAAAACAACCCAATTATCAACCACCACATCATGTGGTCCACAAAAGATGTTCTAAAAATTTGGTTTCCCTAGCATTTTACATATTTTGTTTGTTCCAAAAGTATTTGAAGTGTTTCATGCAAGAAGCATTAGTTATTTGCTTCTTGCATGAAGCACTTCAAGTACTTTTACAAAATTCACTTGTATTTTTACTAAGGATTGTTTCCAAATATTGTTATGAAAAGCACTTTCATCATTTTAAAATCGCTTCTCAAACGAGCCCTTAGTCTCCCAATATAGCTGAAAAAGAGGGTTACGTGCTCAAATTGGATAATAGAATAATTAAAGTAATTCTTGCGTCTTGCACATCAAATATCTTTCCTATGATTCGGTATTAGGGTTTCACGAACATTATAGTTTTATTGATTAATAATCTTTATTGAAGAAGACCTTTATTATGTCTATATAAAGGGGCTATTGTACTAGTTTTGAATTTAAGGGAGCAAAACAATAAATTGTATACTACTCAAGGGATTAGAGTGAGAGAATATTGTAAAGTGTGTGCGAGAGAAAAGAAAAGAGATAGTGTATTTATTGTTCTTGTTCTTTCAGGTTTTTCATCAAATCCTAGTTCTAGAGATTTGACAAGATTATTGGTTGTACTCGTTATTGATATAGTGAAAGATTGTTGTTGCTGTCGGCACATATTGCCGAACCACGTAAATTCTTGGTGTTATTTATCTTGGTTATTTGTTTTTCAATTTCCGGAGTTTGTTCTATTTTTCTCATTCTTAAATGCGATATTCTCAACAAATATCAGTGTTTAAGATAAGTACTCTCGAAACATACAAAAATCGTAACTATAGATTTGGAAAAGGAAACTGCACACTTGTCTCTTAAGAATGTGTCTTGAAGCCATCGCAACTTACCAGACAAACCCAAGACAAACCCCTCGACGAAAGCAAGGAGCACAACAATATGCACAAAAATTTCAATAAAATTAGCTCAGATGTATATCCTTTCTTTCAGGTGCGTCTCTATGAAAAGGTTATTAAGCCACCTATGTTATGGTTATGTAAGGTTTAGTAGTGATCGACTCTTCTAGCAATCGTATTGATAGAGCAAGGCTTCGGATGGACAAGATACATGAAGTTAGGGTTCAACCAGAAACTATATAAACAAGAGAATTTAAGTTCATTAACCAAATTAGAATACTGATCAGTCATTCTAATTTAATACAAATTACCAAACACTAACAAAAACTACTCTTAGTACGGAAGTTAAGTTCATTATCGAAGAAACAAAAAGTACGGAGCGTCAAAGTTCTAAACACGAATTAAACGAGTACTTAATCAATTACATGCACGCTGAATTGCTAATGAATGATGAAGTAGTAGCTAGGAAGCAGCTGCGGATGATTAATTAAGATCTCCATGTAATCATGGCGTTTTAGGTTTTGGCAGCACGTAGCTAGGATGTTCATGCCTGCAAAATCTGAGCCCTTGAAAGCATCAATCAGAGAGGCAAATTGAACCCAACCTTCTTCATGCCACGAAAAATAGAAAATGAAAGAAAAAATAGTGATTGAGAAACAATGCCAATAAATAAATAGATGAACAAGATTTGTCTCTTACGTTGTTGTTAATAGCTCCCAGAACCTGATCCTGCAGCTGACGATTGACAGGGAATGTACCTAGCCCACTACAATACAATTTAAATATATTGATACAGCTAGTTAGAATATCTTTTAAATTATAAACGACTTCTGGCAAAAATCTATATGTGTGTACCTGAAACCCTAGACAGCAGGAAAAAGGAAACTTACATTTTTTGCTGCAGCACTAAAAGCTTCACGATGTGGAATCTCTGGGTTTGCTGCTTTGATTCGCTGGATCTCATCTCTATCAAAAAACAACGATGCATTTGGATACGTATGATATCGATATACATAATTTATGTAACTAAGTACTTTAGTTAGGGCTTGGTTGAAGCACCTAATCGTATTTTCTTAAAGTTTTCGATTATGGTGACATGATGTTTAATTGATTCAAACTATATTTCACTTCATGCTTCTTTGATTCATGAATAAAGCCTCCCTTGTACCATCGCGGTTACTAAAAAATATATAAAATACATATAGTGATGTCAATGTCAAAGAACAACTTAAAAAGAAAAGTAAATTAACAGTATAAATTAATACTAATTAATTAAGATGGCTAAGCTTGGATCTCCTTACTTCATGAATCGATTGTAGGCAGATGGAAGTCTGTGTTTCTTCTCCGGTGCTGCAAAACAACAAACATATTGACATTTATGATAAAGAAGAGTAACAAGTCCTTTAATTATATTTAAATCTAGCTATCATTAAATAAAGGGATTGACTAAATAAGCCTTGAAATGGTTGTAAACTTGAACGTACGTTTCACAACAAAAGGTGCTTTGGGGGATGGTGGGTCGCTTGATACCGGTGACGATGATGTGGAGGATTGGTCCTTCTTGAAGTCATTGCAACAGCCCGCCTGCTTCTCATTCCAATATTGATCACTTTCCTTAGTTAGCAACACACACACAAATAGAGATAGGGTTTTCTTATACTGTAGAAAAACCCTAGAGAGATATATCACTAGGAACATATGTATAAGAAAACTTTTACCCAAATCAGGTTTGGCGTCCACAAAGACATGTGATATATGTATACATATAGTACTGATTACATATATATCGACGGCTGTGATTACCTTCTTTATTTTTGTGTATCTATGATCGAGAGAAGCTAGTTAGCAGAGTAATTAGTAATATTTACCTGAAGAGTCAAGGAGGTGGGGTGATCAGGAAGGCATTGACCTTGGAGTGGAGGTCTGGTGCTGAGAAAGGAGAGGTTACTGCAATGACCACATTTCACTGTTACTGTGTCCATCAACCGTTTGCATGGAATCCCAACCTACAGAAACATCCAATTAATTAGTTAAAAACAAGTTTCTTTTTCTTTCCAAAACTATATACATGTTTACATATAAGAAACAGAAACTAGCAGATGAGAGAGGAGAGAAAAGTAAATGATGTTAGGACATGATTCTGAAAGTGATACTTGTTGATAGAGAGAGAATGCGGGTTTTATTTTAAAATAGCTAGTCAACATATATATGAAGGTAGACAACCTGTATATGTATATGTATATGTATATATATATATATATATATATCATGCATATACATACACACACATATGTTTGATTACCGCAAGAACAGTGTTGCAGAAGTTGCACCGAACATAGCAAAGGTGCTCAGATGGCTGATTAATGAGGTCCATGGTAACTTTCTCTTCCATGTTCATGTTGGAAAGAAAAAGAAAAGGCTAAAGTTTGAAGATGGAGAAGAAGAAGCAGAGGAGGTTTGTAAGATGAAAGTTTGGGGTTTGTGATCTGAAGGGATGACTAGGAGGCACTTATAGATTGGGACAAGTAGCTAGGTTAGCTAAGAGGTTACTAGTCATCATCATCGTACTACTTCTGCACTTAATTGCAATGCAGAGACCTCAGTTGCACGTACGTATACGAATTACAAACTTTGCTAAAAAGACATTGACTCAATATCTCCCCATTTTCTCGAGAAAATATTCTATTTATGCTCCTATTTTATTTTACTTTCTTCCCAAATAAATTTGGTTGGAAACAATTAACTAATTAGCAAATTTTTTTGGTAATAACTAGTTATAGCAATTAATTTAGTTTCTTTTCAAGTTAGAGTTTCTATATGTCTCCTGTTTGTTTTCGAATTAAGTCTTTAGTACACTTCTTGTAACTCAAGAGAACTAATTATGTCAAGATATGGTCTTTTTGAGTTATGAAATTGTCCTGACAAATTATAGTGTTCTTTATTTTCGGTCAATGGAAAAATAATCTAAGTTTCTAATCGTTTTTTTTCTTCTTTTTCTCGTTGTTTGATTCTTTGTACAATATAGTGGTAATGTTCAAATCTATGTGAGAGATTTTGGTCTCCCGTTTATTATCTTCATACTTCCCGTTTAAGTTCAATTACCCGTCTTAGACTTAAGATTATTCAAGTTGACTAGGACAATTTGCTACTCTATGCATTACTTTTCAAATCTAGTAGTTTATACAAATTTAAGGAATAAGATTACCGGTCAAAATTAGTATATTTGTCTTCTTCTTCTATTTTTCTTTTTTTCCCTCAAGTTGTCAACTAATCATCTATTGATTTGATTGATGTTAGCCAAAGAAAAGGGGACAATTTCATGCAAAGTGACGGACGAAGTAACCTAATAAAAATTCTTGTGACTGAATATGAATATAGAACTTGATTATACAAATCATCATACTATGAAAAAAAAACATTAGTGCATGATATTAATATTTGAGATTATATGATTATATATCGTCATATTGAATGAAGAGATTTTTCAGTGTGCTTGGACACGAATGATAAACTATATGTATGCAAGCAGAGAATTTTTTTTTTCTTCAAGGTTTCCTCCACTTGCATAATGACATACTACTCCATGTCCCGTATGCATTAAAAATCTCTTTATTGAATGGCTGAGATGCAATCTTATAAAGGGAATTATTAATTAAATAATTATTCATTTGAAACAAAACGTTTTAATTAAAAATTTTATTCTCTCTCCTATCTCATTAATTGTTTTTCATTAATTCTATCTTAATCTTTCTTCTCCCTTATTTCCTTTTGTTCTCTGCCTATCTTAGACTGTCTCTTTCTTCTCCATTTGTGATCCTCTGAAATGAGTACACTAATGCCAGAAATTATTTGCAATGTCCAGAAAATGTGATGACGTTCTTGGCGTTTACCACCAGAAAAAAAAAAAAAAAAAAAAAAAAACCTAGAGTACAAACAGAAAAAAGTATATACGATAAATGTTTTTTTAGAGGATTGCAAAGTTCTCATCTTGCAATTTAAAATTCAAATAGTTGAGGTTTTATTACGTTGACCTATGAATGATATGCACATATGAATTTGATTGAGTAATTTTGAACGGAATGGGCCAAAGACAAGGATTTTAAGAAAATCCCAATAAGAAAAAAATTGTATAAGTAAATTTCTCATTTCTCATTGTAGTGTTGTGTAGATATAAATTGAAATAGATATTAGTGTTTTGCAGGATTTGGTTGGTACTTTGTAGTTTGTACAATGTACTTATGCGACTATCAAGATCGATCAGTGGTAGAGTTGGAGTTTTTAAATAATGAGATCATGATTTCGACTGAAAAAAAAAAAAAAAAAAAAAAAAAAAAAACCTTCACTGGACCATTTCATTTAGCATATGGCAGGAACATGTCTATTCTTGCCAATATTTGTTTAAGACTTATGCCAATAATGTTAACAATTACTATGATATGTAGAGGTTTGTCAAGGGTGGTTCACATACTGGCTCCGTCACTTATCAAGATTAGCAAAAAAAGGAAGGAGAAACAAATAATGAGATGGCAAGGAAGATAATGGAGAGAAAAAAGGTGGAAAAAAATGCATAGGACGAGAGAACTGGAGAAGAAATTGTGGAATGAGAAATTAATAATGAGGTTAGGATTAATGAAACACAGTTCATATAATGAGAGAAAATAAAATTTTAATTAACGATTTTCTTTTCAATAAATAATTATTTAAATTATAAAAATAAGTTATATTAATCTGATTACATCTCAACTATTAAATTATACAGATTTAATCCACCCCCATGTATATTATATATACTATTTACCCTGCATAGTGCAGGATCCCACAATAGAGGACATGTCCCATCCAAAAGATTGTTACACAACAAGACCACCAGAGAAACAATTTGGAAAATAACATTTAGCCATTTTTTGTGTTATACCCTATTGCCTATTGACATCTATAGGAACCTAGGACAATTCATAGAATGAAAATATTGTCGGGAAATTTTATTTTCAATTTGAACAATGTTTGGCTACTCAATGATGAGTAAGAATTATACTCAAAACTTTTCGTGTTTGAATTACATATGTTTATGCTTTTAATCAGAACCGTTCATATTACAAATCACTTTATAAAGATCATCTCTAAAATCGTTTAGTTAATCTATTATAACAAATACATAGACAGTTCATCATGGTTTTGACAATTCTGTTAATCTGTTTTATATAATTCGAGGACTAAACGACCTTATTTTTAATTGATTTTTTGCAGAAGCGCTTTTTATAAAATGATTTATAATATGATCATAAATATGAAGTTCTATAGATTGGCAACGAATTATTTTGAGTAGAAACTCCTACTTATTTTTTTAGTAACTAAGTATTATTCTTTCAGATTAGGGTATAGCTTTGTAGGGATTCAAATTAAATTGGACATTTTTCAACAAACATAAGAAAGTATCTCAAGAGCGATAGCTTTTTTTTTTTTTTCGATAAGAGAGCGATAGCTAGTTGATGAACATTAGACATAATATACATCTAAGACCACTATTATCCGAATTGTCACATAGAATCAATATCTCCATTGTCCCAGAATCTCATGAGTTCCACATCATGTAAGAGATTAAATAAATTGAGAAAATAGTTTCGTTTATATTGTAACAAGTAAGATGCTAATGTGAACACATATAACAGATTGTATGGTAAATAAATTTGGCGAGTATTGCTCATGCGTCCATAAACCCTAATCATGCAATGCAACGACGACCTAGCTAGCCTGTAGTAAATATGAACTGGAATTTGGAGCCAACCAGTAACCAGGCAGCTAGAAATTTAATGAGTTGAATGAATGAGAAGTTAGAACTGAATGAAGGTGAATGAATCCATGAAAAAAATCAAAGAAAAAATTGAAAAGGTAAACATAGCATAGCTATAGTAGTACTCCATAGTAATGAAGAGAAGAGGTCCTGTCATGCCTTCCTTCTTTTGTGGGTGCAATGCCAAAGTTGGAAACCTGAAAGAGACCAGTGCTGAATCACATGTCACTTTCCTCACTCACCAGTCCACAGTGTGAATATTGAATTTAGGAGATAGCAAAAGGCAAATCGCTTGCCAGGACATGGGTTGTTTATAATTATATCTGCGTCTTTGTTATGTGATGGGACGATTCCCTCAGTTTCCCAAACAGGAAATAAAGCCATTTTTACACTTGAATCTCCACCTTTCTTTGCTTGTGTATACAACTATTTTCCCAAGGTCTCCTTTTCCTTTCAATTTTCTCCATGCCTGCATTTTCTACTTAATTTAGTCCTTTCCATGGGAGTAAATTGCATGCCTGCCTCTGCAGGCTGCAGCCCTCTCTCTCTTATGCGTCTTTCTGCTTCTCCATGATAGCGCTTTGTATGTGGATTGGACGCCGCACGAGATTCCCATGTCATCTTTGAACCTTACCAAATTTCCACCACTTACCAGACCATACCCTTCTGGCTTCTGGTTGAGATATTCTTTATTTCGTGTAACAAAGATTTAGTTATGTTATCGTTATAGTCTAATAAATACTTGGCGTGTGTTCAAAAAGTAAATTACTTGTTTAATAGACGATTGCTATGTAGTAAATTGGCGACAAATATGACATGAGACGAGAATCTCTTCTTCAGGTTGTCATGACTCATGAGTATGATCGATCTTGTTCCAATCCGATTTGTGGTTCCCTTCCTTAACATATTTGGACACAATCATTGGATGCATGGTCACCTCCAAATTCTATCTCTATCGGGAAATTCAGATTAGACCCATCTCAGCACCATATCTTTCTAGGCTCTAGCTACCTATATATAGTTGTCTTCGTGTGTACACTTACCTAACATTTAGGGCACCTTCTCTCTCATCCTAGTTGTTACGTTGATTCATTTAATAATACGCACTTATATTTATTAGTCCATTCTCTGACACTTTAAAAGTTTTTGTTAGGGTTTTGATTAACCGATCGATACTTGTATCAGAGTTGTAGCTACAGGATTAGGTTTCCGATCTTCGACCAAGAAAAAAACTAGGGTTTGTCCAATCCGCGTACCCGTATCTTTTGTCTACATGGTACACAATTGGTTTTGGAGTTTTATATGATTGACAAGTTTACATGTTAATTCTCAAACAAGTTGAAAACTTATCAACACGCAAATGCCTTATCCACCCAGACTTCAATTCTTCTAACTTAAAGCTTTTCCGGTGTTCAAGTTCGGCCGGTACCCTTGATTGCTCTTGGTTGTATCACATAATCAATCATATCAATATTGTTCTCATCCGGGCTTAATAAGATTTTTAGGATTTTTGTATTGATTGATTTGGAACGAATTTTTGCAAAAAACAAATTATAAATTGACAATTATAAGTTAAAGTATAATCAATTTTTGGAAACTTCTATTTTAAGACCTCTATCTTGGTAATTTTCTGGCTTGCCATTAACCATATGCGATGAAAACGAGGCCCAACAACCTACTTATAAAAGTAATCATATATCCGTGTTTATTAATGAACTATCAGTTCTTACATGTATGAGCTGATTTATGTGAGTCAATCGAAATGATAAGGAAATCTATGTTAACTAAACTTTCCTCATACTATACACAACACAATACAACCTAAATTAAGCATGACATGAGTGATCAATAAATTATCCAAACTAAGCACTCACAAAGGATTAAAGTGGCCATCCACAATTTCTTAACCTGGCACATACCTAGTACGACGATGATGAGCAATTACTTGAGACAAGGACAAATTACATCGTATGTAGCCCTAGAAATGACGGACAAACTATATGTTTGTGGCCCGCTGGTGTAGGAGAGACTTGGCTCAGTATACCATGTAAAATTAAAAGATTTATAGTAAATTTTGAAGTACTTTGTGATTCTACACGAGTAACATTGACAAGAAAACAAGATACAATGCAACATTAAGAAATCAAAACAACACAGGAAATACCTTAAAAAAGCCAAAACAAAACGATTTATATGTCAAACTCGCATCCATGCAAGTTGAGTGTGAGCCATCTCACCTATAATTAGGTAGACATAAATATTAGAGACTTTAGCATTAGTGAATTTGAGTTCGTTCACCAGAATAAGTGGTTAAGAGTGTTGGAAGTTATTGAATTTATCTACTAAATTTGGCGTTCGCAATTTGGTAGATTTGGTTTGTTTTTCATAGTTTTGATTAAGATTTCCATTATATATGTTTCTTTATTTATCAGTTTTCAAATTTATTGTAGGATTCGGATCGTTTGTACTTATGGAGAAGAATAGATGGCATATGAGATCCCATGAGAATGGGTGCTTTTCATTCTAATTACTTTAATAAAACGACGAATTCTAGTTTGTCAACAATGTCGTTGTAGTATAGTGGTAAGTATTCCCGCCTGTCACGCGGGTGACCCGGGTTCGATCCCCGGCAACGGCGCTTCTGTTTTTTATATTCCGTCTCGACTTTTATGAACTTTCTCTTACTGTCGGTCACCCAATGAAAAGTCACCCACCAATCAAATGGTTCTTCTAAACAGGCTTTTCTCGTTTTCAACCCATTGGCCAATCACATTGCAGGGTCACATATCAAATTACAAATTCAGGTGGTTTTAATTAGAATTAACTCCCCTCATACGTAGAGATTTTCAAAATGTGTCATATGGGCTTTAGTTATTTCACGTTGCACCATAAGATTTTATTATTGTATGAATTACGTTTTTTTATCTATTTGATCGTTTAATTTTCCATTAAATTGATGAGTTTTTAATTAATTTGGTACAAATATTGACTTATATGCTAATCGATTTACGGATTCTACTTTCATCAGGTCATCAATTTAATGAAGTTTCAAATAATTTTGTAGAAAAATATGAATTGATACAATTTGAAAACTTCAAGATGTAATGTTAGAAATTTAACGGGCATTCTATGCCATCTTGATTCCCCTTCTTTGAGGGACAGGTCGAATAGTCGAAGAAGGGTATGGGATATTTCCTATTTCCAAAACTTCATGGCCCAATTTGAAAAATATCCCAAACCTAAAAGGTATAAAATGTAATTATCTCTTTTAATTTCTTCAATCTCAAATGGCCCTCTCGTTTTCGTTCCCGCCACAAACACCTCCTCTCCCTCTCTTTCTCTGAGAACTATAAATTAAATATTTTGCCGCTAATTTACTGTCGTCCTTTCGAAAGCTCAGACCTAAAACATGACGAAGCCTCCGAAAGTCGCCGGAGAAACAAAACCCAGTGGAGCGGCGGAGAAGCCAGACGATCTCGAAATCACATCCATCGGCTCCCTCTACACCGGACCTTGGGACAAGAAGTACTGGAGCTCCTCCCGGGTTCGATTTTCCTCTTTCCCACCTCTTAATTTCGAAAATCTAGAGTTTAGGTTAGGGTTTGTGAGATTTGATTGATTGAATTAAATTAGGATGAGTAATTAGTTTAGTGATAAAGTATTATAAGACTATAAAGTTGGTGATTATTTTCAGTATCATCCTAATTTTAACATGAATTCATGCTGTCTTTGAAATTTTGTTGAATTGTATTGAAATTTTGTAGGGGAAAGATCGGTATCCGTATCCGGTTGGGTATCAGGCGGTTCGAGCTCACAATGGGAGCACATATAAGATGGAGATTCAAGAAGGTCCTAAAGGACCTTTATTTTCGGTTTGTAGCCAAACCCCTGCAGCTTTTGATTGTTTAATGATATTTTAATGACATTCAGTTTTTCGGTTGCATATTTTGATTTTATGCTTGAATGGAAAGGTAATTTTTTAAATGTGCAGATTATTTGTGCTGATGGACAATCCTGTTCTGGGCAAACCCCAGATATGGCATGGGAGAAATTTCAGAAGAAATTTTTTCCCCGGTTGAAGATTTGGCATGGGAAGAGGTTTTCGTGCAAGATTGATGGTGTGGAGGTAGAAATTGATTCCTTTTTCGTTTGTAGTTTACGTCGGAATTGCTTTTATTGTAAGCAATTGGGTTTTGTTGTTACTTTCTTCTGTGGACACTCCTAGCAAGAAAGAAAAATGTCTAAGTTAATTAACATGAAAAACATAAATGTCCTTAGCAACATTAAGATTTTGGTTCATCTGAAACACATTCACTAGTGACACAGTAAACTATGGTATGTGACAACTTATTGCGTTAGTCATCTTCTACATGTTCAGTTAATGTCAACTCATGACTCAACTCTCCATAAACTAGTCCCTTCTGATATAGGTTATTTCAACTCGTCTATTGGAATGGCGCCTTTTCTGAATCTGATCATCCTCTATGCAGGATGATATTTATTATTTAACCATTCTGTCTGCAAGAGAAGCATAGGATTTCCTTTCCATTTTACTTTGTTCTTCACATGTTTGCTGAAATAAATCAAACAGAAATGATAGTAACTCAGAAGATTGATTTTTTTTTTTTTTTTTTTTTTTCGCGTTTTAAATGCAGTTTTTTGGCTTCAAAAATCCATTTGTCCAGAGGTTACTTCGGGAGATGGCAGCAAATGTTAATGGAACTGCAGAAAGGAGTTTGTTACCTTTGAGCTTCTGTAACAGGGCCTCTGGAACAGATGTTGATAATCATTCCCCAGAGCCATGTTCATTCGTGGCATCACCACGAATCACAGGGAAGCGAAGTAGGAGACGTGAACTTGTAAATTCGAAGTCATTCAGTTCGGCTAGCATTAAAAGAAGCAGACCTGAATATCTGGCATCTGTAGCTGAGGCTTCAAAAGGGAAGAAGAGATATCATAATAATGGGAAGAATGCTGTGAATGAAGATGACATTTGTAAATATCAGAAGGTACTGCCACCATTACCTGCTCATCAAGAAGAGAGTGAGTTTTCAGCCAAAGATAGTTTGCCATTAGATTCTGCTGGCGTCTCCAATCATCTCAGGAAGGATGCTGATCATGAAGACACAAGGCTTTTTACGAGTTCTGGAAATTGTAAATCTACTGGGGTAGCCAGCAACTTGTCTGCAAATGAAGATAAACCTGTGAGCACATTTTCTGTTCTTATTCATCTTCTCCCCAAACCCCAAACGAAGCTGAAAATACTGCACTATTTTATTGGTTCCCTTTTGATTCGTATATTTTTGTAAATGCTTGAAAACACAAGTTTTCACATATGCCCAAATATTTATGTGCTTACATCACTGCTTACTTCAAACTAGGCTTCTCTTTGCTTGTTTAGAAAAGATGTCCATCGTCATCAATTTGACTTGTGTCACAGTTCTGTAGTGAATTTCTGTTGATTGAGACATTCTCAACTTCTTACAGCTTGATAGGTCTCAAGATGCGAATCCAATGGAACTAGAAGAGAAAAATGTAGATGCTACAGTGCCAAAAGATTCCGAAGGTCTTACTGATGTTGGCCTTTATGCTCCAGATACCTTTGATTTAACACAGGGTAATCTTAACTCTCCATTTGTTTCATACTCTGTAGTTCCACTGTGATCACCACAGCTTGTGGCTTCAAGTATGGTAATTGATCATCATCTTTCGTTTTTGTTGTCTTAATGCAGATAAGACTTCTGATTCTGCTCCAACTATCCAGGATAGAAGTGCCTTGAAGGTGGTCATTCCTGAAGGGTTGCTGACAGAATCACATCAAAAAGTCTCGCCACCATTAGTGCATTTAGTACCTGCTCATCACGAAGAGAGTGATTTTTCAGCCAAAGATAGTTTGCCACTGGATTCTGTTTGCTTCTCCAATCATCTCAGGAAGGATTCTGCCCATGAAGAAGCAAGGCTTTTGGTTGGTTCTGGAAGTTGTAAATCTGTGTTAGCCAGCAACTTGCCTGTAGATGAAGAAAAACCTGTGAGCTCATTTCCCTTTTTATTCATCTTCCCTCAAAACCCCATGGGAAGCTGAAAATACTTCACTATTTTGTTGAATCCAATTTGATTCACATATCCTTGGAAACCTTTTGAAAACACATTCTCACATATCCTTAAATATTTATTTACATCACTGTGGTTAGTCCAAACTAGGCTTCTCTAAGCTTGTTCAGAAAAGTTGTCCATTTGTCCTCAGTTTTGCTTATGTCATGGTTCTGTAGTCAGTTTTCTGTTGAATAACATACTCTACAGTGTGACAGGTCTCAAGATTTCAACCTGATGGCACCAGAAGATAAAAATATGGATTCTACAATACCAAAAGATTCCGAAGCTCTTACTGATCTTTGTGCTCCTGATACCTTAGATTTTACACAGGGTAATCATTAACTATCCGCTTGTTTCATAGTATGCCATTCCATTGTGAGTACCCCAGATGGTGGCTTCAAGTATTGGTAATTGATAATCTATTCCACTATTTCCGCATCAAATGCAGATAATACTTCTGAATCTGCTTCAACCATCCAGTATAGAAGTGCCTTGAATGTGGTCATTTCTGAAGGTTTGGTGACTGAATCACACCCAGAACAAGAAACAGACGCTTCTAAACCAAATGCAAGTTCTGAAATTAATGATTTTGATTCAGTTGGAGAAGAAATGGCCAAGTCAATGATGACATTTCTTCTTCCGCAAGCTATTCCTTTGCTGAAGAAGGGTTCGAGAAAGGAAAAGGGTACTGTTAGCCCTTCAGAAATTCTGCCTTGTATGCTGAAATCTCAAGAGGAAATTAATGAAACCAGTGCTCCATCCACTGGTACTGCATTGAACATTATTAGTTTTACACTCGGCCCTTTTATAGTTGGTTGATTATTCTTTTCTTTATACTTGTAGGTGCAATGCTTGCTGCAACTAAAGATGCTGAGGAAGAAGGGATGTATACCCAAAATAGCGATCTTGGTTCAATTGTTCCAATAAGGTCTATTGTTCCTGACAGTTTAGAGGGTGATCAATATGGTGACCGTGTAGTCAACCACAATATATGTTCCACTGATAAGGCTGAAGCTGATGAAGATAGTTCTGACGATGCATGCCTTCTCAACAGTTATAAGCAAGTTGTTTCTGTTAATAAGCATAACAAATCATTAGATGATCATCTTGAGATCAATGGAAGCAAATATATCATGGATTCTACTGGGAGGCTTGAGGAATGTGACACATACATATCTGGGTCTCTTTCAGTTTGTACATCTCCTCATAACAGAGTCGTTTCTGAAGAAATCAGGGATGAATTTGCTAATAGGGATGGATGCTCACTTGGTGTTATCCAATCTAAGCAAAGCAAAGAAACTTCAGATAATCTCCCTGAAGGTAATTTTTTTACACCAATTGTTTCAGTTAACTTTTATTTTTGTTCCCAAATTCTGGGATGTGTCTATCTAAGGTACTCATTTTCAGTCTAGTTGGTGAGATGAAGCGCCTTCTATTTCTACTGGCCTCGTAAGTTAGATAAAATGACATGACATTTTAGTTTCTTTGTGTGAGTTGTCACAATTTGTTACGATTTCTTTACTCTGTAGTACTTTTTTTCTATTATCAGGTTATGAACAAATTAGTGATCCGAACTCCATATTTTTTTTTCCAACTCTATGTGCACTGTTTCTTAGGAAATTCTAGCTAACTCAAGTACTGATTCTGGTTATTCAGCGATAGATGTAATTGATGATAACCAAAGAGGCATGTTGAATTCTTCAAAAACATCAGAGAATGAAAATGCTGATAAGAGAACTGTTGCAGAAATTGGAAATGAGTCGTTTACTAAAGTTTCGAACTTAGTATATACCAGGAGGAAAGTTCACAAAGGAAATTACAGTGCTCCGTTCTCAGAGAGTATAGTATGCAGAAATAATGGTGATATTTGTGTGCCTGAATCATACCCTTCCACAGAGACTTTGCTTGCGTTGGAGACTTTGCAAATGGGTTCTTCTGATGACACTTCAAATAAGAGAGATTCATTCTGTGCTGAAGCCAAGATTGGGGGACATTCCAGTTGTTTGAATGCAGAGAAACCTTCCACGATATCTAAGGGTCCCATAAACAGTAGTGTTCCTGCTGTATTACAAGATCAAGCATTAGCTGGTGCCTCTGGAGAAAATGATACTTCGTACTCACTTGATTTGCCTGTTTCACGTGTAGAAAACCATGTTGACAAGGATGTGGTTGAACATGAGAACCTCCTCGAGTTAAACAACTCTGAAACATCTCAGAAACAGGGGATGAGCATCATTCATGATCCCAATAGTATTCCACATCATTCAGACTCGAAGTCTCACAGTATGGAATTTAATAAGGAACTAGTGGGCAATCTTGAGTTTGTGGGATGTTATTCCCATCAAAGTCCTGTTTTGTCAGCGTTGTTGAGTGCAAAGGGGACTGAAACTTACGTTTGTGTTTTATGTGGCCATCTGGTTGACAAGGACAGAAGCCTATTCATCTACAAGATACAAATCGAGGGACCAAGTGTTGGATGCCCTTCTTTTGTTGGTCACACATCCGTAACATGGCCCATGCGAAAAGACTACTTTGGTAAAGTAAGTTCTCGTATTTATTTGGCTTGGTAGACTTGTGTGCTTTATTATCAATTTTTTTGACATATGTGTTTACTCTTTGCCAGATTTCTTTGGAAAGATCCAGTTTGCAATTCACTCCAGATGGGCGATGTCTTGTTTTACTTGACAGCATTAAAACACCTTACTGCAGGTTAACCATCTATGCAGATTTTTAAAAAGTAATGTCATAAATTAGGATTAAAGTTACTAAGAAGGATTTCCTTTAAATATTCTTAGGCAGGGGAGTATCAATTGTTCATGCTCCACATGTACGTCAAACTGCTCAGAGGAGAATACAGTGAAGATTGTGGAAGTAAAACTTGGTTATGTTTCAGTGGTGGCAAGATTGAAAGCAGTAGACAGTTTAGAATGTATATTGGTTTGTAAACCCAACTATATTGTTGCTGTTGGAGAAAGTGGGAGACTGCATCTGTGGGTTATGAACTCAATGTGGAGGTGGGTATCTAAAACCTTTCTTTCAACACCTCTAATACAAGTGTGGGTGTCAAACTTTAGTAAGTGTTATTTTCAATAGAGTGGGAGTATTGTGTCAAAAGTCCAAGTATTTGATTGCTGGTGCAAATTTTGTGCTAGATTTACCTTTAATACATCAACCACTAGTTCAGTGGGGAAACATGGCACTTGCTATAAGCCTATAACCTTACGCAATTGTCTATTTGTAAGTCGTGCCATGTGCACACTTTGTGTTCTGAGATATTTTCCCCCTTTTTTCCTAGCCAATCGATTAAATCTGATGGTACACCACAAATTGCGTTACTGTTTTTCATGTTTGCCGACAATCATTTACTGTTTCGAGTTGTTTCCATATCTTGTGTTAAACAAATTTTAATGGGGCTTCAAATTCCTTGTTTGCAGTGCACAGATAGATAATTATGTTCTGCCAGCTGAAGATTGCATCTCCCCTGGAATAGTGGAGTTGAAGAGAACTCCAAATTGTACTCGTATAGTTGTTGGCCATAATGGTTGTGGTGAATTCAGTTTATGGTATGCCTTTCTTAAACTACTGAGGAGGCCTACCGCACATAAGTAGTCTTCTTTCATAAAGTAAAATATCACTGGTTCACTGTTATGTGGAATCACATAGGCTTGATAATTGGTCCTAATTGTGTTACCTAATCTGGATTATTTAGATTAAAAGTTTCTGGCCATTAGTTCTGTTGTCTGATTCTATCAGCTTCCAGTTCGCCTTTTATATGAATTTTGCGTATAGTAGGTTATATGTTTGTTATTGACCTAATTTAATATGAAAATTTTAGGCAATCAATTTTATTCTATGTAAAATTGATTAGTAGTAACATGCAACGGCATTTTCTTTCAGGGATATTTCTAAACGCATCCTCGTGTCAACGTTCTCTGCATCAAGCACTTCAGTCTGTCAATTCATTCCCGTCAGTTTGTTTACTTGGCAAATACAGTGCCCTGTTTCCGGCTACTCTGATATAGAAGAACACCTCAAGCAAATGATGCCTGCCACATGTGATGGCCAATTTTCCTTGGAGGGGGAAGACCTTGCTGTCTGGCTTCTTGTCTCATCATCCTCTGATTTTGATAGTCAAGACTATATGTCCGGTGATTGCGACTTAAACCCAGTGGGAAGGTGGAGGCTTGCTCTAATGGTGAAAAATACGATGATCTTCGGAAGTACATTGGATCCAAGGTGTGTTGACCTTTTCATGTACTGGAATGGAATTCTTCAACTATTTTTCGGGGCATTGAACTTTATGAAATTGAGATCAGTTATTGCCAATAACTAATCGACTGATTTCATATTGATCTGGTATTTTCTATGCTATTTCAGTTCAGTTATTGGTCTTAGAACACGTAGAATAGAAATTTCTGCTTTTTTCAGGGAAAGTCTCAAGGATTAGACATTGGTAAAGATAAACTTGAAATGCCTGTCTACAGGTGTTTCTCTGATGATTAGAATGTATTGCTGATAATTGGACATTACTATTTTTAAACAATCAGAGAGTACAAACCTTTCCAGGATTGAGAATTCAGCTGTTTTATTAACTTATAAACTCGATTTACAGAGCTGCTGTTGTTGGTGCATCGGCTGGTCAAGGGATCTGTGGTACTAGTGATGGACTTGTGTATACGTGGGAGTTATCAACAGGAACTAAAATCGGCGATATGCATCAGTTTAACGGTATGCATCTGCGATTACTATCTTAAAGAATAATGTTAGAAAGCAGAAGTTGTCGAACTATGAACCCTACAATAATTGGTTCTAGAAACAGCCTTTCATCCACGGCAGATTTCGTTAGTGAAACATGCATCAGTATATGACTTACATTTGCTGTGCTTTTGCTTCTGGTTGATTGCTTCATTCTGCCTCAGATTCCTAATATTTGATAGATGCGAGTCACGGTTCAGACGAAACTGATGAATCATTTTACTTATTTTTCTGTTGAACTGATGGTTTTTACACTAAGTTTTGTGATGGTATCAGGCGGCAGAGTTTCGTGTATTGCTACCGATGACTCGAGGTCGGGTGCTGTGGCCGTAGCCTGTGACAACCGATTGCTGGTTTACATGCACTCTGAAAAACAATCTGTAAACTAACAAGCAAACAAGTAAGCTTTTTGTGATCTTACATTTGATGCATGAAAGTAGTCCAGATGTATATCAGCGTATCTTACACTTTGGGAGTTCTGAACATGATCATCGTATCAAAAGTGCATGCATGTTCCCACTTTCTGCATTATATCAGCGTATCTTTGTTGGGCACTCTCAAGTTTTTTCGAAACCCTAGCCGGAGCATGGACATCGTAATACATGTTCGTGAAGATGATTGGCCGGAACATGATCGTCGGCGTCGGCTAATTGGCTAATTCATCGAGGGTCGGCAAAGAATGAATCAGCAAGACCACTTGTTGCCGCCATTGATCATTCGGCCAAGTTAACAACAGAGAACAGCAGTGCAGGCGGTGTTGGAAGTTAACAACAACAACAATGCATCTATCAAATATTCCACTGCTGCCTCCCGTAGGAGTGTTAGCCTGTCTCATTTCTTCTCAAATATGAATCGGATATCCAATCATTTCGAATTGAATTATTTAAAAAATTATCTATATTAAATTAAATTTATTATTTTATTATGCATAATCAAACCGATTTCTTGATCCAATAGGCTGCCATCCAAATAATTATGGAAGGCGTGTGAAAAAAATAATAATTATGCAAGTAGCAAGTCCGATTAAGCATAGTCCTAATCAGGATGGGGTTAGAAATTTCTTCTAGTGGGGGCAACTGAAAACAACTAGGAAAACTTTATTATAGTACGGTTTACACAATATGATATTAAGGATGATTTTTAATGATAATGTATCACAATTCCAATGTTACAAAAATTTCAATATAGTAGTGAAAAATGGCAAAGTGATGAGAAAAATATAAGTATATAATAGGCGGGAGAGGGTTTTTTCAATTTGAATGACAAAACAAGAGCAGTATTGCTCATATAATATTTGATATGAAGTATAAGTAGAATGAATGTATATTAGATATTAGATACATATATTTTTTTCAAAAATAATCCGTGTATTTTATATAATTATAGCTTGCAACTAAACAAACGAATTACTTGAGTGGAGACATCTGCTCCCAGTGAGCCTTCATTGTCTTTGTCCATATTCCTAATCATAATTTCCAACCAACCAAAAAAAAAATCCTAATCATGGTTAAAAATATGGATCACACTGGGGGCCCCACTCCTAATGGGCTGGTCCAGTTCGGATTCTGTAACTCACAGAACTTATCAAATTAACCAAATTACCCTTAACGCACTACTGACGTGACCTTTTCCGTCCACGTATAAATGAACAGTCAAAAGAGTCAATGACCAATCCCACTTTCCTCGTAACATCGTAAGTCGAACCCAATTCTTTCTATCACTGTCTGCGTTTCTACGGTAACGTTAGTGCCTCTCTGCTCCGCCATCAACAGCCAGCAATGGCGGGAGGAGCTGCTTTCTCCGACGCGAAACCGACGCCGATCCTAAAAGACGAGCTCGACATCGTGATCCCGACGATTCGAAACCTGGACTTCTTGGAGATGTGGCGGCCGTACTTCGAGCCCTACCACCTGATCATCGTCCAGGACGGCGATCCGTCGCGGACCGTCAGGGTCCCCGACGGATTCGACTACGAGCTCTTCAATCGCAACGATATTAATCGAATTCTGGGTCCCAAGGCCTCCTGCATTTCCTTCAAGGACTCTGCTTGTCGCTGCTTTGGGTACTTGGTCTCGAAGAAGAAGTACATTTTTACCATTGACGACGATTGCTTTGTAAGAATTAACATCCCTCTCTCTCTCTCTCTCTCTCTCTCTCCTTCTCTAAAAAATGAGATTTTAGATTTAACTGGATGGATCTTGAAGTTTTTTAGGAAATGGGGTTCTGGGTTTTTATGGGTTTTGTCAAATTTTGTCAAATTTTGGATTTCCGAGTGATGAAATTGCGATGGTTTTGTTTTTTATTGGGATTGTGGAGTTTACACCATATAACTTAAGCATTTTGGTTTTGATCTGGGTTTTTGTGTTTTATGGAAACAAGTTTTTGATGTGTTATGTAATTTCACGTTTGTCCAATTTGTGTTTATCTGTTGGTATGAATTATACGTTGTTCGTGTTACTGCGAAAAATTTCGAAATCTCGTGTTTGTTGAAATCTGTATCTTTGTATGCAGGTTGCGAAAGACCCATCTGGGAAAGAGATCAATGCACTTGAACAACATGTAAAGAACCTGTAAATCCATCAACTCCTCTATTTTTCAATACTTTATATGATCCATACAGAGAAGGTGCAGACTTTGTCCGCGGATATCCTTTTAGTCTCCGTGAGGGTGTTCCAACCGCAGTTTCTCATGGCCTCTGGCTCAACATCCCGGACTATGATGCTCCCACCCAGCTTGCCAAGCCTCTAGAAAGAAACACTAGGTATAATGAATGATCCTAAATAACACAAAAACTGTACTAATAACCACTGGAAAGCCCTTTTTTCGTATTTGTGTGTTCATTTCTTGGTAAAATGTTTTCAGGTTTGTTGATGCAGTTCTGACAATACCCAAGGGAACTCTATTTCCTATGTGTGGTATGAACTTGGCTTTCAACCGTCAACTGATTGGACCGGCAATGTACTTCGGACTCATGGGTGATGGTCAGCCAATTGGAAGATATGATGATATGTGGGCTGGCTGGTGCATGAAGGTAATTTGAATTGCTTGTTAAGTTCTTTATCTTTAACCCTCTTTCTTCTTTATCTTTTTGTATTTGCATACTTCTTCTAGGTGAATTTAGCACTTTCAATCGTGGCATTGAATTGGATTGTTGTTCATAAGGTTAAACTTTCTTGTCGTTAGGATTATTAGGAAAGGGATCAGCGTCGGATTTATATGTTGTCGAGAATGAATTAAGATAACTTTGCATGAAATTCAAACATCCGTTTAATAACTTACGTACTTCGAGATGATAACCTGAGAAGTGTATTGCAATAGTTTCTCTAGCTCTTGATGATTACCTCCTACCTTTCTAGATGCACTCTGTGTTTGAATCTATTGCTTGTCAATTTACTCTGATGTCGGAGAAACTTTATCACATCGATATATGCTTGTAGGTTATATGTGATCATTTAGGATATGGAGTCAAGACTGGTCTACCCTACATATGGCACAGCAAAGCCAGCAATCCATTTGTTAACCTCAAAAAGGAGTACAATGGTATCTTCTGGCAAGAAGAGCTTATCCCTTTCTTCCAATCTGCAGTCCTTACAAAAGAATGCACTACTGTTCAGAAATGCTACCTTGAACTCTCGAAGCAAGTCAAGGCTAAGCTTGGCAAGATCGACCCGTACTTCCTCAAGCTGGCAGATGCCATGGTTACTTGGGTAGAAGCTTGGGACGAGCTTAACGGATCTGGAGAAAACCTTCAAACCTAACCAACGACCCGGAAAAGTAGACGTTGATCACCAGTAATTTAAAGTTGTGGTGCTACCTATCCTAATATTTTGTTGTTGCATTTGGATTCAAGCATAATGAGATTGAAGTTTGGATGGAAGATGGTTAATTGTCTCACAAACTAAAAGGTTAAGCTACAAAACATGTAGCTGTGTTCTTTTGCTTGTAATAGCATTCCCAAGTAGAAATGTGATTGAAGTTTGTTTAACGCTTGCATGTGTATTGCACTTGAGTTCAAACCTCATCCTTGTAAATTAGTGTAGTATGGCCCGGCTCATAGCATGGATCACGATTCATGCATCGCGCACCTCTTGGTCTATGTTATGAGCCGATTTATTGTAAAATTTTCGAAAAGTCCCTACCCAATAAGAATTCTAATAAAATCTTTACAAGAAGATGCATTAGGTAAGAAGAATAAACAAACTATTTGATTATAAGTTGGTTTCTTTGTTAAATAATACAGAGAGTTTTGGCTCAGCCGAAATAGTTAGAAAGTCAAGCAAGCAACCCCATCCGCACGCAACCCATTATTGGACCGCAAACCTTTACCGCCATATAAGTCCTCCCGAATAAGATTCAACCAACAGAGAGAGAATATCTGGTATTGGTAGGTATCGAATCCAAGGAGGAGAAGAAGGTTGAAGAAACGAGCAGCAACGAGAATCTCCGAAGTTGGTTGAAGGAACACAGAAAGATGCCGACTTTGACGAAGCTGTATACAATGCAAGAAGCGTCGCAGCACAACACCAAAGACAACTGCTGGGTCGTCATCGATGGCAAGGTATTTCTTGAGTTTTCCTTTCGGGTATTTTTGCTGTATTTTCAGATCTGTCTGCTGCCTCCGGTAGCTAATCCTTGCACTGCATCCTGGGAATCTGGGGTTAACACAAAAGAAACACTTGGAGTATTGTGCGTCCTTAATCTGTAGGTCATAAACAAGGTCAAAGAATGAGACTTTGGAATACTACCTGCAAAACCCATGTTCTATTTTCATTGATGGTTTACTTTTTACTGCTGTAATTCCTCTGCGTTTCTCTGTTTCTGGGTCAAGTTTCCTCCTTTTCACTATGAAATTTTTACCTATAGATAGTACAATTTGGTTGGTTTGGATTGTCATTAGGAGTGATCTGTCATGTGTGGTTTTGCTATTCATAATCTTGTTTAAATTACAGATGAATAGTCTTGTGGTATAAGTAATTGATTGCGATTCGCGACTCTTGCGGTATTCTGTTAAAAGTGTAACTGGCTTTTGTACTCAACAATTGGCCTAAAGATCTCTCTTTCCATCAAACGAACCGGTGACTGGTTTAAGTATACGTCGTGTTTTATTCATGATGCTTGCAGCGTTACTGTGCTTGTGGCATTTATGCATTAATATTCATGTGAGTTTTATCTGACAAATTTGGTATGCATCTCGGCATCTTTTTTCTCCTAAATATTGGATATATTGAGTATGCAGAATGAGGACAGCCCCACCACTGTTGGAGGCTTTTTATCATCCAAATTGTGTCTTGATCTGTATTGAAATGATCAATTTGAATGTCGATGCCATAACAAATTTTGAACTTACTTTTTCGTTGCTGGTTTGATTTCTCTGTTTTGTTTTGAATTGGAGAACTAAAATTTGACGTCAATCTGAATGATCTGATCATAGTGCATTGGTTAATCCCAGGTGTATGATGTGTCAACCTATTTGGACGACCACCCTGGTGGAGACGACGTACTCCTGGCTGCAACTGGTGCATTTCTAAGCTTCCTTTCTCAACTGTTCGAACATTTTGTTTCAGTTCAGATTATCATTTTAAACAACAATGTAGATACAAACACAAATTCGTAATCTGACGTGTTGAGATTCGATCTCATTAGGACGAGATGCCACCGAAGATTTTGAAGAAGCTGGGCACAGCAAAACTGCCAGGGAGGAAATGAGAGCCTTATGCATTGGAGAACTTGACACCACTTCCTCGGATATTCCAGAGCTAGAGATTTTCCCCGAGAATCAGCCACCGGGCTATCCCAAGAAGCTTGCCAATTTGACAAAGCGATACTGGGCTGTTCCGGTGGCTGTTGTTGGCATCTCCGTGGTTATTGGAGTCTTGTACTGGCGCAAGAAGTGATCATCCAATACAATTTTGCCCTTGTTATACAACTCAAGGGGAAGGTTCATCACAATTTTGAATGGAGGCAACACAAAGCCAACCAGGCTCCTCGCTTTGTGAGGGTTAGGGAAACGTCTTTTCAGAATGGTATTGAGGAATATGCAGATGTATATCGTGATTGAAAATTTTGAACGTATGGATTTCAAATATGAAATTTACAAATTATATGGAGATTGTATGTCATTGAGGTTAGGGGAAATCCATGACTTGTTTGTTTGTGAGTCTCCATTGTTTTCAGGAAAATTATAGGAAACATCTTTATTAACCCCTTTTTAAAAACCAAATTTCTCCACCGCGCAGCGGCGAGTCAACAATCCTTTGAGTGCACCGGGCACTAAAACACGCCGAACTCGGGGTGTTATTTTTACGGCTAGCTACTGTTCACATGTTACTATTCACACACTCATAAACCCTAAACCACATGGGCCTCTGCTGCCTATGTGCGCCTTGGGCCTTCCAAGGGCATGAGTATGGGTTGCAGCTAGCGCTTGATCTCATTGGGTTTAGGCTGCTGTTGCATCTACTTGCGCCTAAATCATCAATTTTATTTATTTTATGTTTTTTTTATTAAGATTTTCTTTTTTTCCTTACCATAACACAAAATTATCATCTTCATATTCTATAAAATGTGTTTTCGGTGAAAATTTTCTTATAATCCATGTCAAAGACACTCGAAAAAAAGATATAAATATAAATCTAAAGATATTTAAATCTAAATAAAGTAAGGTAGGAAGAAAGAAAAAATTCAATGGAAAAAGGAAAAAGCAATAAATAAACAAATAAAATAGAAATTAAACGATCGGTACTTCGTTACCCACTGTGTGCAAGACATGTCGCTAGTGAGGTAGCGCCTCACATTTACAGAAATTGCAAGCATGGTAGCGACTATGTACGGTACGAGTCGCTAGAATCTAGTGATCCCTCATTTTCAAAATTTTATTTCTTTATTTCTTTATTTTTTTTAGATTTTATTGTTAACTTCTAGTTTTGGCATGCACGAAACCAGTCTCGTTTTACGTGCACAGGGCTGGTCTCGATTTGTGCGATGTATCCTGTTTGTACCATACTTGACCAATCCCGAAACTACCGAGCACCGGCCAACGCTATACTGTCAAGGACCCAGAAGAGTTCCCCTCCGACCAGGAGGCCAATCACTACTCGACACGTGTCAAGATTAGAAGCCAATCAGAGCGCAACACGTGTCGACATCAAGAACCAATCACAACATGACACATGTCAATGTGACAAAGCTACAAGTTTTTCTATAAATAGGGGTCATTCCCCCACAATATTGCCTAATGCCATTTTGTGTTAAATCATTCACAAGAACTCACTAAATTGAGAGCTTGATCCTTTGTACTTGTGTAAGCCCTTCACTACTAATAAGAACTCCTCTACTCCGTGGACGTAGCCAATCTGGGTGAACCACGTACATCCTGTGTTTGCTTTCTCTGTCTCTATTCATTTACGTACTTATCCTCACTAGTGACTGAAGCAACCAAGCAACCAAGCGAAGGTCACAAAACCTGACACTTTCTGTTGTACCAAAGTCCTCGCTGATTTTGTGCATCAACATTTGGCGCCGTCTGTGGGAAACGACACTTATTCCTACTCTCTTCAGCTGTGTCAAGCTGGTTTCTATCATTCGTACACTTTCTTTTGATCAGGCATCCCTCTCCAACATGGGAAGCGAAGGAAGCCACAGCACACAGAATGACACCCCCCTTGCACATAGTGCGAAAACAACGAAAGAAGGAAGGAAAACGAGTTCTTCTTCAAGCTAAAGTCGATGAGTTGGAAGCTCAGAACAACAAGATAGCAATGAGGAATGAGGTCCTCCAGGAGCAATATGAGAAGCTCTTCGAGACACTCCACAAAGCTAGGCAAGCTCAGACACGCGAGCTTGTTGCCCCCGTGGGAGAGCTTGTTGCCCCCGTGGAAGTCAACCATCAACTGGGTGCCCTCCAACATGGAGGGTCACATGCATTCGACATAGATATCCCTGATAGGGAACAGATTACCCCTCGACTTGATAATCAACATGAGGCTTCTCTTAACCCAGTTGCTTCGACCCGAACCATGAGAAGTGGAGGGAGACACCTCTTTGCTGAAGGGGCAGAAGGATCGAAAGCCGTCTTTCGCGATTGTCGGGATTTCCTGAAGCAACGTCGAGAGAATTCCATCCATATAAGCTCAAAGATCAATGACCCAAGGATTTCTGAGAGACTCGGTCCCCTGCCACGGCCCAAGCCGGCCACCAATTTGGGGAAGGGGCAACAAGTCCTCGAGAGACATGAGGGTACAGGGACTCAGAGGTGTTCCGACAGACATACCCTGGAAGCCAGTACAACGAGTCCAGGGAAAAATCACATGCCCTTGATCAAACCTTCCTAATTCCAATAGGAGATGGAGATTTACGAAAGAAAGCTCCAGTGACACATAACTCCGCTCAGGACCCCTTGTCCTACAACTTCTTGAGGAAGTAAACAAGTTGAAGGCTGAACGTCAGGCTGAAATACCTGACTGGAACCAACCCAGGCCTGGCCCTCTTACAAGGAGGATCCTCAACACCCCCCTTCAAGCAAAGACAAAGCAAAAGCTTGGCTTGCAACTTTATACTGGAAAAGAGGACCCGATTGAGCACCTTAACCTCTTTGAGTCCACCATGGCATACCGGATGCACACCGACGACGAAGAGCGATGTCTTCTCTTCCCCTCCACCCTCTCTAGTGGAGCTCTAAATTGGTATTGTCGTCTTACACCTGAGACGGTAGACTCATTTGAGGAATTGAGGAAACTATTTGTTTCCCAACACATTTTCCAAACCGATCGCTTGCACTCTGCAGATGACTTGTACACTATCCGCCAGAAGCCAGACGAGTCATTACGTATGTATGCTGGCCGCTTCAGCCATGAATACTCCCGGTGTGCCGAGGCAGACGACAAGACTGCCCTCAAAGCCTTCACGGCAGGCCTACGTGATTGTTTCTTTAAATACATGATCAATGCCAATACTTGGAAGACTTACTCTGAGGTGATGGCGCAGGCTTATAACCATGCCTCCGCCGAGGCAAAGACATATCAGGAGAAACCCCCTACAACCATCCTTTATCAACAAGTGGGAGGTGGAAGCCAGACTCACCTAAATGAGAAGACCTCGACTTTCCAAACAGCAGTGGCACCTCCCCATGCCTTGCATAATGCTTCACCGAATCAACAGACATATCAATTTCAAGGCAAGAGGAAGGATTTCCATCCTCACCACTCTCCTTTCAGTAAAAAAGAGTAAGGGACACTATCCGATAACCAAGGGTATCGCCACAATAACGCTCGCCCCCAGGCAGTCAATGCAGTGGGTCAAACCCGCGTCAAGATACCCCCTACCCAAGGTATGAGACATACACGCCCTTGAATGCCACATGCGCGGCCATTTACCCCAGCATAGCTCACCTGATACCAAAGCCAAAGCCGAGGCACCCAGATTACACGCCCCCGAATAACGCGGGCATGTTTTTTGTTGCTACCATGAGCATAACGGCCATGATAGCGAGAAATGTATCATCCTCCGTGATCGTATTGAAGCTTTGGCACGAGAAGGAAAAATTGATCAATTCCTCCTTCACCCTCAAAGGGATAACCGTAACCAACGCCAGGTGAATGTCATATATTCCATAAGCGGCGGCACACACCCATATCTGAATCTTCCAATAGGGCCATGAAAAACAGTGAACGAATTCTGAGGCCTGGTCACCAAGTGTTTCACGTGGAAGACATCAGGGGAGGGAAGTATCAAAAGCCTAACTGGGATCCGATATGTTTCTACCCTGAGGAAGAAAGAGGCATCATCTACCCTCATAACGACCCATTGATCGTGGAGGCTCACATAGCCAACTTTGATGTTCGACGAATCCTCGTAGACACAGGGGCTTCGGTCAATATCATGTTTGCCGAAGCTTTCAGGGCACTCAGTGTAGCTGAACACTTGCTCGATCGCTCGATTTCTCCTCTGATAAGCTTCTCCGGTGATATCGTGCAACCCTTAGGGAGCATACATTTACCCTTTACTATTGGTACAGGCCCTTACACGGCTACCATTACCACTAACTTCCTAGTGGTTGACTGCCCCAACGGCAATACAATGTCATATTTGGGCGCACAGGCATCAATGATCTCAAGGCTATGGTATCCACGCATATGCTGTTGATGAAATTTCCAACCCCCCATGGCAACGGCTACATCAGAGGAGATCAGCTTAGTGCACGATCATGTTACAACACTTCAGTTAAGCAACAACACTTGCCCGGACCCAAGGAAACCCTGTCTGTACATGACCAAGTCACAAAGACCAGCCTAGATGAAGCGAACTTGGATCTTCCTGATAGCAACAATCAACCCGATGATCAACCAAATCACAAAGCCCAACCTGCTGAAGAGTTGGAGAAGGTACCTATCTCAAGAGATTATCCAGATCGCATGGTGAAGATTGGCACCACATTGTCACCACCCCTTCGGTTAGCATTGATATCTTTTTTGAAAGAGAACACTGAAGTCTTCGCCTGGTCATACGAGGACATGCCAGGCATCTCTCCCGATGTCATCTGTCATCGTTTGAGTATTGACCCCAAGATCAAGCCGGTGAGACAGAAGCGAAGATCTTATGACGCTGAACGATACGAGGCAATGAAAGCAGAAGTTGAAAAACTCAAAGGCATAGGCTTTGTCCGCGAAGTCAATTACCCGACATGGGTAGCAAATGCGGTCCTTGTTAAGAAAAATCCGACCAAAGAAAGTCTTTTGCTTCAAAAGGTCTTGTGGAGAATGTGTGTTGACTACACCGACCTAAACAAAGGGTGTCCGAAAGATAGCTTCCCTCTTCCTCTTATTGACAGACTTATAGACTCTACGGCCGGGTGTGAACTCCTGAGCTTCATGGATGCTTACTCAGGATACAACCAAATCCTCATGAACCCTTCGGATCAAGAACACACAGCCTTCACTACCGACAGAGGACTATATACTGCTATAAAGTCATGCCTTTCGGCCTAAAGAATGCAGGAGCGACTTATCAGAGACTAGTCAACTCAATGTTCGCCGAGCAGATTGGGAAGAGCATGGAAGTTTACGTTGATGATATGTTAGTCAAGAGCAAACATGCTGACCAACACATCACCAACCTATCTGAAACTTTCACTATTTTGAAGAGGTATCGAATGAGGTTAAA